AAGGAGCGAATTCAAGGCTTCTCCTCCCAAGTCTTCTCTACCCACCCTTGCCCCATCTCAGAGCCACTCTCATGGAGGGCTGTGTTCTCTTCCATAGAGGTCCAGTTGAGAAAATGGACACCACACTAGGTATTTTAACAGAGAGAATTTGATATCGGAAATGTGTTACAGATGTTGAAAGGCTAAAAAGCAAAAAGAGACACTGAGATAACAGAGATAGGTAGGAGGCAGCTACCACTCTTAGGAAAGGGGTTGGCATTTCCAGAACTAGGAGTTAGATGAGAGCCTCGTAGAGCAGGGCCCCATGTCTTGAGGTGGGGCCACTGCCAAGTCATTGCTGATACATCAGGAGCTTACAGGAAAGGTTTCCTGGATCTGGGCTCTGAGCCCCAAGGGAGGCGCTGGCTGGAAGCCACTGCTCCTTCAGACAGATTGCAGTGAGATTCTAAGAGCAAGGAAAGAAGCTGAAGACAGAAGATGAATACTGCTGCCCAGAGAAAGGCCACTGATAGGGTGACACCAACAAACAGCAAGCAAACTGGAAGAAGGAAAATCCCTGTTCCTCCTCCTGCAGCCCAGGGTCCCTGTAGGGCATCCTAAGAGGAAGCTCACCGACCAGAGTAAAATGGACTTTTCAGAGTCTCAGCCCCTGCATTGCAGAGCAGAGCGCACAGGGCAGGCCACGCCACTGAGATTAATCCAGCACAGGGTGTGACACTCTCTCGGGTCAGAAGAGCAGCAGGACTTGCATTGGTAAACACAACAAGGTTAAAAGCTTCTGTTTTCATGACTATGCTTTTTCAAAGGTCAAATAAATTTGGGAAAACTATCTTTATAATTTGGGGTGTCACAAAGCCCATTAGCCTATTATAAGATCACAGAAGTCTTGCAGTAAAGTAACCTGCTTTATTTTGTTTAATTATTTCTAAAATTTATTCAGTGTGAATTGCTTCCTCCTGCCACATATAATATTCCTCAGAACATGCAAACTGTTTAAATGCTGCTCTAAAAAAGAAAGTTACTGCTTAAGTCCAAGCTGCTTTTGTTGGTTTGCTTCTAAAGCTGGGAAAGAGAGAAAAGAATATGTGTATAAGTGAAATCAAATAATTGAGAAGAAAAATAGAATCTGTAGCCAGGTGCAGTGGCTCACCCCTGTAATCTCAGTAATTTGGGAGGCCAAAGAGGGCAGATCACCTGAGGTCAGGAGTTCAAGACCAGCCTGACCAACATGAAGAAACCCCATCTCTACTAAAAAAAAAAAAAAAAATTAGCAAGGGGTGGTGGCACATGCCTGTAATCTCAGCTACTTGGGAGGCTGAGACAGGAGAATTGCTTGAACCTGGGAGGCATAGGTTGTGGTAAGCAGAGATCATGCCATTGCACTCCAGCCTGGGCAACAAGAGTGAAACTCAGTCAAAAGAGAAGAGAAAGAAGAGAAGAGGAGAGGAGGGTAGGGGAGGAGAGGAGAGGGGAGAGGAGGGGAGGGGAGGGGAGAGGAGGAGAGGAGAAGAGAAGAGAAGGAAAATAGAAAGAGAGAGAAAAAAAAGGAGAGAGTAGGAAAGAAGGGAGAGAGAGAAGGAGGGAGGAAGGAAGGTAGGAGGGAGGGAGGAAGGAAAGAAGGAAGAAGGAAGGAAGGGAAGGAGGAAAAAGGGAAAGAAGGAAGGAAAGGAGGAAGGGAGGGAGGGAGGAAGGGAGGAGAGAGGGAGGGAGGGAGGCAGGGAGGCAGGGAGGGAGAGAGGGAGGGAGGGAGGCAGGGAGTCAGGGAAGGAGGGAGGCAGGGAGTCAGGGAGGGAGGGAGGGAGAAAGGGAGGAAGGAAAGAAAGAGAGGGAGAGAGGGAAGGAGGGAGGGAGAAATTCCCTCTGGCTGATTTTCCAGATCCTGTGATGACTGGCTTTGAATTCTTCCATTCAACTAGATGTTTCATTTGACAACAACACAATCTGCAACTGCTGTACGTATCTCATCAAGTTATGCTAATCTGACTTTTACCTCTAAGTTGGATTTTGTCCATGAAGACAAGTGATTCGTGTCTGGAAATCTGGAATTTTCTTAAGCAAACGGTTTGAACTGATTTTATTTATTTAATTGACTATTCCATTCCTTATCCAAAAAACAGGTACCAAAAAGTTCCAAGCAGTTGAATGTGGATGAAAGTAACCATCACCTGTCTTCAGCACACCTCCTTGCCTGGAGATGAACTCCCTACAGACCTCACATGATGCTAAATTCATACTAAGATAAAACATCAAGGCCAGGTTCTAGTGCTAAGAAACTTTCTGTTCCATTCATTTGGAAGATGATTAGACAGAAGACCCTGAAGTTTTGCCTCCTATACTCACATAACAAAGAGCAGACATACCCGGGGCAGGGATGGGAGAAACCAACCCTAGTTAAATATCTGTAGTTCAAGGCATAAAATTTGCTATTAACGCCCCAGCAGAGTCTCTTTCATCAGGTCTGGCTTCACTTTACAGGCAAAGCAATACTTCTGACTGTTGCCCCAACAAGCTTCCAATCACAGACTCCCCTAAATGTGACCTACAGGTACTTACATTCGTGGGGGTTTTGCCTTAGCGTACACCATATCTTCCACTTTCTAAATTCACTGGCTTTGTCATGCTTTGCTTTCATTGGGTTCTTGCTTTTTCTACCCTTTTAAAATTAATCAGTCTGCTTTCCAAACTCACTTTCAGTTACAGTAAAGACTGAAACGTCCCTTTGTCCACTGGTCACAGTTAAAGGCCAGGAGCCCTGCCCACTTGCATGCTCAGTTCCCCTGCTTGAACCCAGCCTGTGCCACAGGGAGTAGCCCCTTAAATACTATGCAGTACCCCCTTGCCCATCAGCAGAACTGTTTGCCTTTTCTCTTTAAAGATTCTAAACATACTTCTTTTCTTTTTAAAAATTATTTTACATGCAAGTGGTACGTGTGCCAGTTTGTCACGTGGGTATGTTGCATCATGCTGGGGTTTGGGCTTGTACTGAACCCATCACCCAAATAATGAACATTGTATCCACTGGGTAGTTTAGGTAGTTTTTCAACTCTTGCCCTTTTGGAGTCCCCACGGTTTATTATTTTCATGGTTGTACAAATACTTATTTTCTAGTTTTTTTCTAAATGAAGATCTAATTATACTTGCTGTTATTTCTGATGACTCTAGACTGTTTTCCCCTATATTTTCTCTCTCTCTTTTGTCTGTTTGTTTGTTTGTTTGTTTTGAGACAAGGTCTCACTCTGTCACCTAGGCTGGAGTACAGTGGCATGATCATGGCTTGCCATAGCATCTATCTCCCAAGCTTAGGTGATTCTCTCACCTCAGACTCCCAAGTAGCTGGGACTACAGGTGCATGCCACCATACGTGGCTAATTTTTGTATTTTTTGTAAAGACAGGGTTTGAGCATGTTTCTCAGGCTGCTCTTAAATTCCTGGGCTTAAGTGATCCTTCTGCCTGGGCCTCCCAAAGTGCTGGGATTACAGGCATGTGCCAGCATGCCCTGGCTTTCCTGTATTTTCTAATTTAGACTTGTAAGTTCATGTTGGGTGGGACTTTATCTACAGGGCTCCTATGCAACCTAGGTTGAAAATTTGTCTTTCTGGAGAAAGCTTTTAGTCACTCATATTAGGGGGCACCGGTATTGTTATCAACATGAGAAGACTTTTTGCATTATTTTGCGGAGAATCTAGGCATCCAGGTAGTATAAACTCAAACCCTAAACCTGAATGAGAGCAGCCTAGGGTTCAGGTTTTAATAACTTCAGGGTTTTCCCTTGCTTCCTCTTTTCCTAGCAGATCAAACCAAAAGCAAAAGTTTCTCTCCTAATGGGAGAGGATGAACATTTTTAATTCTCCTATTTCACAGTTCTATAGTAATTCAAAAGTTCTTTATTTAAGGGTCTTAGGTCTAAATTTCTGCCTTTCATGGGTCCAAAGATTTGTCTCCTGTACTGTCATGGGCATTAAAATCCAAACCCTTTTTTAACCATACTAACAAAAAACAAATCCATAGCCATCGAAAGATCAGTTTCCAAGATAATTTCCTTACTTTCTTTGTAACATTTAAAAGCATGCTTGTTACATTTTAGCTTATCTAAGTGATTTACCGTAAGAGATTTTTCAGATGATCTTATCAGCAGTATTGCTAGAAATCAAGGCTAATGTTATTTTTCATGTATTTATACGTTGAACGCTTTTGTTATTATATGTTAGGATTCCTTTGGATATGGAGTCACTTCTGGAAATGGACTGGCTTGATAACCATGTTTGCTTCCTTATGGTCTTAGGTTGAAATGTCTTCTTAGGCAAAGTGGAAAGAAAATGTGTGCAATTATGTGCCCTTCTCAATCAACAATACAATCTGTGTGGAGAGAGCAGCTCCTCCTTCTGCTCACCCCTCATAAACATAGTTCAAAATTTTCTCAGGCTGGGGTCAGTGGCTCCTTCCTATAATCACAAGCTTTGGGAGGCTGAGGTAGAAAGATCACTTGAGGCCAGGAGTTTGAGACCAGGCTGGGCAACATAGCAAGACCCTGTCTCTACAATAAAATAAAATAAAATTAGCTAGGCATGGTGGTATGGGCCTATAGTCCCAACTACTCAGGAGGCTGAAGGGGGAAGATTTCCTGAGCCCAAGAGTTTGAAAGATCGAAGCTATGGTGAGCTATGATGGCACCACTGCACTCCAACCTGAGTAACAGAGTAAGACTTTGTCTCAAAAAAATTTTTTTTTCTCATACTCTCCAAAACAAAACAGAGAGTATGAATGGTTTCTTTCTAGAAAGGTTCCTTGAATTCAGCTTTGCAAAAATGAAAAGAAAGGAACAACCCCATTCTCAAAGAAATCCAGCTCTTTCCGGGGAAATCAGAATGTAGACCCTAATTCTAATATTTGGAATTCTTTCCATTTTCTATTTTTCTTTGGTATGACTTTAATAGAAATCTTCAAGTGGGAACATTATAAGATTATGTCTTTACAACACCAAAATTAACTTTCAATCTGATCAATTTAGTCAAACCCAACACTTTTTTTTATTGCATTTTAGGTTTTGGGGTACATGTGAAGAACAAGTAAGATTGTTGCACAGGTACACACATGGCAGTGTGGTTTGCTGCCTCCCTCCTCGTCACCTCTATCTGGCATTTATCCCCATGTTATCCCTCCCCAACTCCCCACCGCCCACTGCCGCTCCCCTAGTTCACCCCCACAGACCCAGTGTGTGATGCTCCCCTCCCTGTATCCATGTGTTCTCATTGTTCAACACCCACCTATGAGTGAGAACATGAGGTGTCTGATTTTCTGTTCTTGTGTCAGTTTGCTGAGAATGACAGTTTCCAGTTTCATTCATGTCCCTACAAAGGACACAAACTCATCGTTTTTTATGGCTGCATAGTATTCCATGGTGTATATGTACCACATTTTCCCTGTCCAGTCTATCATCAATGGGCATTTACTTTTTTAAAAGCATGTTATTTTATTGAATTGAGTAAGAATAGAGGAATTATATAGAAAAAAATTAAGAGTGACATTGGAAAAGTGAGTAAGGGAATGCAAATTTCATATGCTGGCTAGAATATTCAGAAGGGCTTATGATTTTTGAGTTTTAGCAATGCAATGTCTATCAATATTTTACAGATCTTCCTTTAAAAAGGCATTGGTTAGCCTCTCGTGGGCATCTATTTTACTGGTTATCCATGCAGTAAGTAGGATTTGGACCTAGACTAAATTCTTCCTTCTGCAATTCAAAGGTATTTCCTCTGGCCCTATTCTTAATTGAGAGCAGATTCTTACAAACAACCCTCCTCTTCCTGAAGACTCCCCTCTGCCATGCATTCCACTGCATTGTCTTAGGAGTACAACCCCCATGGAGGGTGTCCTGAGGGGGAAGTTCAAGATCAAATGAGATGTCTCTCTTCATGAACTAACAAATATAATTTTCCCCTTTCTAGTTAAATTAACAGTGAGAATTTCTCTTCCACTAACACATGGAAGCCTAAAGTGCTGCAGAAAGTGCATCGTTTTAAATCCCACAGAGGCTTCAAATTGTTACTCTAGTAAACACTTCCCCAGTGATGCTGCGGGTTGACTGATTACGGTTTGAGTCTTTCTGTTCTCAAAATCAAAGAAAAAAGTTTTGTTATATTATATTGTTCAAGATTAAAGCTTGATTCCATTTCTGTCTCCCTTTGACCTGTTTCCAAAGTGAAGTAAAATGGAGTGTTAACCCCAAATCCATCAATCTGGACACGTTCTATCACATTTATTCACCATCTATCCTGTATCCCTGTGCTTTCCCCCTCCTCCACCCCAAACATATGCATAAAGCCTTTCTTTTATCTTCAATAATTGATTCTTGTGTCTAACATTTTCTGATATTTACACACTTTTATTTATACATAGGTATAGGTCATCTATACACATGTCCATTTAATCCCAGAGTAACCATTCCAAAAGAATAGAGGACGAATCATTAATAACTATAGTATCTGCTAATTATTAAGTAGTTCTTATACTCCAGGATTTCTGTTTGCTGCTTCATGTAAGTTACCATACATAACTCTTTTCTTTCTTTCTTTCTTTTTTTTTTATTTTGAGACAGAGTCTCGCTCTGTCACCCAGGCCGGAGTGCAATGGTACAATCTCGGCTCACTACAACCTCCACCTTCTGGGTTCAAGTGATTCTCCTGCATCAGCCTCCCAAGTAGCTGGGACTACAAGCACATGCCACTACACCGGCTAATTTTTTTGTATTTTTAGTACAGGTGGGGTTTCACCGTGTTAGCCAGGATGGTCTCGATCTCCTGACCCACCTCGGCCTCTCAAAGTGCTGGGATTACAGGTGTGAGCTACCACATCCAGCCCATTCTTAACTCTTTCAGCAAACTGTTATGAGTTGAGTTGTGTCCCCAGCAAAAGACATATGTTAGAGCCCTAAATCCCACTACATCAGAGTGTGGTGTTACTTGGGGATGGGATCTTTATAGAGGTAACTAAGTTAAAGTGAGATTATTAGGGTGAACCCTAAACTGATATAACTGGCGTCCTTAAAAAAGGGGGTAATTTGGACACAGAGATATACACAGGGGAGAATGCCGTCTGCAAGCCTAAGAGAGACACCTGGAGCAAATCCTTTCCTCCCAGCCCTTAGAGGGAGCCTGCTGTCACCTTGATTTCCAACTTCTAGCCTCTGGAACTGTGATACGATGAATTTCTGTTGTTGAAGCCACCCAGTGGTACTTTGTTATGGCAGCCCTGATAAAGTAATGCACAACCCTGCAATTTAAGCCTTATTCCCCTTTCATATACAAGGAAACTGAAACATAGGATGATTAAGGGCCTCGACCACAGTCATGTGGGTAGTAAGTGGAAAGGCTGCAGTTTAGCCCGGATCTGTTTTGTCCTATGGCCTATGTACTTTTCACCAGATCATGCTGCCATGAAACTCGTTTTATACTGCATTAAGTAGTTAGTTACCCTTTTCATCTATACATGGAAACACACACATTCACACGGAGCACATGGGCTTACAGAGTATACCTAGATTTCTACAGTCAAGATATTTATATGTCGTTTACTCCAAGGAAAACTTTCTGAAGGCCACTCCCCATATTTGGCAAGCGAATTATCACAAAACTCAAGAGGTAGGTAGATACATTGACCTGGTCTGGGAAAAGCAAGTTCTTCACTGGTGCCAAAGGGCATCAGCTACTTGCCCTGGAAATCAATGGGAAACTAGAAAGATGAAAACAGACATAAGTGAGAGGGCCTTAGGAAGTTGGGGGGCTTGTGTTTGCCTGTCTGCTCAGGTTGGACATGGGGACATAAATGGAAATGAGATAATTTTCCTGGAAGAAGATCTGATGGATGAGAAAACAGCAAAAGTTGGGAGGGAGGGGACGAGACACCCAGAGAGCAGGTGGTAGAAAACAGACAAGGACCTGGGAGGAAAGGAAAGATTTCCCAATTTTTAGCAGCTACTACAACCAAAACTCTGGTCCAAGAGCCAGATATGCCAAGAAAAGGCCATTACCTATAGTGGTGTAGGCTGACCAGTCTGTGAGAGTACCTGGCCAGGGCAGCCAGTGCAGCTAAGGTTCAGTCTGCGCTCCTCCGTCCTGGCTGTGTGCCATGGGGCAGCACGGTGTTTGACCGGCGAAAGGTGCCTCTTTCTATAGGCTACCTGAGACCCTATGCAAGAAATCATTATCTCAGAACCAGGGCATTCGCACTGGGCTCTCAGACAGGATACAGAATAAAAAGGCAGTTGGTCATCGTACATTAGAAAGCAGCACTTTAAAAGCATGGTTGTTCTATGCTTTGGAGATTCAGAGATTCTTTTTGTTTTCCTTTACCTTTCATTGCTAGTGATGAAAAGTCCCTTCTGTTGAGCTAAAGAAGAAATGCGATTCTTTTTTTTTTTTTTTTTTTGAGACAAGAGTTTCGCTCTTGTTACCCAGGCTGGAGTGTAATGGCGTGATCTTGGCTCACCGCAACCTCCGCCTCCTGGGTTCAAGCAATTCTCCTGCCTCAGCCTCCCAAGTAGCTGGGACTACAGGCGTGCGCCACCATGCCCAGCTAATTTTTGTATTTTTAGTAGAGGCGGGGTTTCACCATGTTGACCAGGATAGTCTCGATCTCTTGACCTCATGATCCACCCACCTCAGCCTCCCAGAGTGCTGGGATTATAGGCGTGAGCCACCACACCCAGCTAGAAATGTGATTCTTACGTTTGCTTTTTCCACATTGAAGCCAAATTCAAGACAGAAAACATACCACACAAAAACCGTACGGACTGCTAGACGGCAGATAGGCAGAAATACGGAGTAGCGATGTGCCGGGGCTCACGGATTCGTCACATCAACACGCGAAGGGCAGCTCTGCTGTGCAAATGGGCAAACTCCCTTCCTCTCATTTTCCTCACTGGAAAAGTCACTCAGTGAATGTTTCAGCATTCCCAGGTTAGAGTCTGTGTGCTCGTGAAGATTAAAGTCTATATGAGGGTGGTAAAAAAGGGGGAAAGATAGACAACAAGCTAAAAAATGCATCGAATTTAATGTGCAAAATCCTCCTCCCCACAAATACATCGTATGCATTTCTCTTTTGTATTTCCTGGTACCTTATTAGCCAGAGAGCCATCGGCCTGCCAGGGTACTGCAAAGCGATCAAAGTAAAGCAACAGGAATGCAAAATTATATAAACAGTTAATATTTAGTTTCTGACACCAAGTAAACTTTCTAAATCAACAGCAAGATAATCATTCTTGATGCCAGGTGAAGTGGCTCACATCTGTGATCCCAGCACTTTAGGAGGCCAAGGCAAGAGGACTGCTCAGGAGTTCAAGACCAGCATGGGAAACACCGTGAGACCTCGTCTCCACAAACACTAGTTTTTTTTAAAGTTAGCTGAGTGTGGAGGAGCACACCTGCACTCCCAGCTACTCCAGAGGCTGAGGTGGAAGGACTACTTGAGCCCATGCACTTGAGGCTGCAGTGAGTCGTGATCATGCCACTGCACTCCAGCCTGGGCAACAGAGCAGGACCTTGTCTCAATAAAATAAAAATAAATAGGACCGGCTGACCAGATCACAGATTTTGTGTATACTGGGCATCTACTTACACCTGGAGTAGAGAGGCAGATATGCAGTGGACGGAGTTGAACGTGCAAGAAGTGGGGGAGGGTAGGAGATGAGGAAACCAGACACCGGTGTTGTCGTTGTTGTTGTTGTTGTTGTTTGTTTTCTCTGCTTCATTTCCTGGGACCCAACCTCAAATATCCAGATAAATGAGAAACACCGACTCAGGGTGTGCAGCTCACTTCCACAGATGTACACAGACAGGCTACCAAACAGGGCTGTCAGGTAAACAACAGGAAGCACAGTTAAATTTGAATTTCAGGTAAACAATAAATAATTTTTAGTATATGTATGTCCCATGCAGTATTTGGGACATAGATTTTTTTCACTGTTTATCTGAAATTCAAATGTAACTAGACTTCCTATATTTTAATTTGTGAAATCTGGCAGACTTACCCCAGGAGAACCATTAGTTGGGGCCTCAGCCCCGCCATGGCATGGGCATGATGGCACAGAAGTGGCAGCAGGAGTGTTGACAGCTAGGCCTAAGGAAGCATTCTTGCTCCATGTGTGGAGTTCTTGGATTGTCTGGCCCATTGTAAGTGCTCAATAAATATCACCTATTACCTTTTATAGCAATCAGGGAAACACATTCTTAGGTCCCTGGAGATATGGGAGCAGGGAAGAGAGAAGAATGCAGTAGGAAATAATAGAAGAAATGAGCTAATATTATTCCATGAGTAAATTGGCACTGGCAAGGCTCCTATTGGATAAAGATTGATGAAGCATTCTGGTGTCAGGAACGAATGTTCAGAATCCAGGCCTCGTGTTGATCAGACTCTCATTGGGCCCTGGGCCAGTGGAATAAAAGAATGCAGAGCTCTAATGGCACAAAGAGCTATAGGCCTGGAAATATATAGTCCATAATACTTCCCCTGTAGGGAAACAGGAAGAAATCCAGTAGACCAGTGAGAGAAACAACGTGGATGTCTTTTAAAACAAGAGGGGTGAAGTAGGTTTACTGCACTGGAAAACCACTGGAAAGCCAGCTACCAATTAAACGACCAGAAAATTCCTTACTGTTGAATCAAACTCAAGAAAAGCATACAGTGATCTTTTTGAAAATCTTCACCTCCTGAGTTTATAGCAAAATCCTCCTAATTAGTAATGTGAAGTCTTGGAAAATGAAAAGAATGTCCTAAAATCAAATTTAAAAGGCAAAATGGTGGTCATGAAATTGACAACTTACTGGTAACTCTACCTTTTTTGCCCTGTGGAAATGTGCTTTTGCTTCGGAATTACTCAGCCTTAAATTTTTCCAGTGATGTTACAGAACCGTGAAAGTATTTCCACAGCAGCATATTCTTGTCAGCTAAGGAGTCATAAAGTGTGTATGCAATCTTTTTCTCAATGATTGGCACAGGAACATGCAAAGCTGGCAGAAATAGATGATGACTGGCAATTTCTACACAGCATCTTATTGTGCTTTGGTTTACAGAGTCATTCAACATGACGGGCTTCACATTTATTTTATTTTATTTTATTTCATTTTATTTTGAGATGGAGTCTCACTCTGTCACCCAGGCTGGCGTGATCTCTGCTCGCCACAAACTCCATCTCCCAGGTTCAAGCAGTTCTCCTGTCTCAGCCTCTTGAGTAGCTGGGATTACAGGCCCATGCCACCATGTCCAGCTAATTTTTGTATGTTTAGTAGAGACAGTTTCTCCATGTTGGCCAGGCTGGTCTCGAACTCCTGACCTCAGGAGATCTACTCACCTTGGCCTTCCAAAGTACTAGGATTACAGGCATAAGCCACCATACCCAGCCTAGCTTCACACACTTCTTAAGCACAGTATGGTAGAAAATGGCCTTGTGTATTGTATGGCCCAGAAGATAGTTCTGCATCAGTTGCTCTTTAGAACAATGTTCTATGCCAATCAAACACATCCTGGCCTGACATATCTGAGGTTTAGATCATCTGCTTTTAATAAGGCTACTGTGGGTTAGAAGAAACAGCTAATAATATTTTTTATTTCTAAGTGACATGTTGACACACAATGGAATTATCTATTTGTAATAGGCCGAATTGTTGCCTTGTAAATTCTTATAGTTTTGCCATTTTGAGAAAAATATGCAATTTCTATTTTGTTAAGAAATTAGAATAAACCAAATAGTTAAATGCTACTAGCGTGAAGCACCACAGAGCATGGCCAAATAAGCTATTTATGTTGTCCTCATGTATCTGACGTTTTTGTGGTCTGCTCAAGTTTTCCCTAAAAGCCTCCCTCAATATGAGCTACATGTTAATGTTCTGATATGCTTTGACTGTTCCCTCCAAAATCATGTTGAAATTTAATTGTCATCATAACAGTATTGACAAGTGGGACCTTTAAGAGGTAATTAGGTCCTGAAGCCTCTGCCTTAATGAACAGATTATGCTGTTATTGAGGGAGTGGGTTCGTTATCACAGGAGTGTGCTCCTGATTAAAGGATACGTTATTTTCTATTCTTTCCCTGTCTCTTGCACTTATCACTGCCTTTCTGTTTTCTGCCATGAGATGACACAAGGAGACCCTCATCAATGGCTGAGCAGATACCAGTACCATGCCTTTGGATTTTATCTTGACTTTTTCATATCTAATGATATGTCCAGTACTAAAACACCAAAAGCAATGGCAACAGAAGCCAGAATAGACACGTGAGATCTAACTAAACTAAAGAGCTTCTGCACAGTGGAGGAAATTAGCATTAGAGTGAAGCAGCAACCAACAGAACGGGAAAAAATTTTTTGCATTCTACCCATCTGACAAAGGGCTAATATCCAGAATCCACAAAGAAACTTAAACGAATTTACAAGAAAAAAAAAAAATCAACCCCATCGAAAAGTAGGCAAAGTATAAGAAAAGACACTTCTCAAAGCAAGATATTTATGCAGCCACAAACATGAATAAATGGTCATCATCACGGGTCATTAGAGATGCAAATCAAAACCACATTGAGATACCATCTCACGCTTGTTAGAAGGGCAATCATACCGCCGGGCGCGGTGGCTCAAGCCTGTAATCCCAGCACTTTGGGAGGCCGAGGCGTGTGGATCACAAGGCCAAGAGATGGAGACCATTCTGGTCAACATGGTGAAACCCCGTCTCTACTAAAAATACAAAAAATTAGCTGGGCATGGTGGTGCGTGCCTGTAATCCCAGCTACTCAGGAGGCTGAGGCAGGAGAATTGCCTGAACCCAGGAGGTGGAGGTTGCGGTGAGCCGAGATCGCACCATTGCACTCCAGCCTGGGTAAAAAGAGCGAAACTGTGTCTCAAAAAAAAAAATGACGATCATTAAAAAAATCAGGAGGCAACAGATGCCAGAGAGGATGTGGAGAAATAGGAACACTTTTACACTGTTGGTGGGAGTGTAAATTAGTTCAACCATTGTGGAAGACAGTGTTGCGATTCCTCAAGGATCTGGAAATAGAAATTCCATTTGACCCAGCAATCCCATTACTGGGATTATAGATCATTCTATTATAAAGACATATGCACGTGTATGTTTATTTCTGCACTGTTCACAATAGCAAAGACTTGGAACCAAACCCAAATGCCCATCAATGATAGACTGGATAAAGAAAATGTGGCATATATACACCATGGAATACTATACAGCCATAAAAAAGCATGAGTTCATGTCCTTTGCAGGAACATGGATGAATCTGGAAACCATCATTCTCAGCAAACTGGCACAAGAACAGAAAACCAAACACCACATATTCTTACTCGTAAATGGGTGCTGAACAATGAAAACACATGGACAGAGGGGGAAACATCACACACTGGGGCCTGTAGGGGGTTGGGGGTAGGGAAGGAATAGCATTAGGAAATGACGAGGTGATGTGATGGATGCAGCAAACCATCATGGCACGTGTATACCTATGTAACAAACCTGCATGTTCTGCACATGAACCCAGAACTTAAGGTATATATACAAAATGTGTCCGCTAGTAATGATCAGTGGAAATAGGTGAAATTCAAATGAGCACTTATTACAATTCTGACAGAAGTAAGGATGGGAAGAGATGTGAAGCCAGTGGCTACAATAGCACCAAATACATGATCCTGAATATAGAAGTCGCTCTATAAATCCTTAATTCAATAATTAGGGACTTAATTCATTTTTGCCTTCTGGTCATTATCACATCTAATCCAAAGTTGATTATAACTATAACACCATGTGAAGCTACTCATGATCATAAGTTATATTTTTAAAAAGCAATGGGAAAATTAATAACCACTTAAAATGCACACTTTTTGTGAGACTTTATTATGCAGTCTCACAAAACCTTCGGAAACCACAGCTGTTAATAATGTTTCTGATTTGCCAGATCCTGTAACAGTCCACTTACTTTGCCTTGAACATGGCATTTGTACCACATTAAAGTTTGGCAAGCTTAATCTTTGCTAACCACTGGCAAATGTGAACATGCTATAAAATATAAAAATATGTTTCAGCCAAAACCATTATCGGGTACATATTTGTTTGGATTTGACTAAGTAACCTCTAATTTGTTACTGCACACTTGGCATCTTTAGATTCTGTGTGATGATCATGCTTGCAATTTATATATTATGTGTCTGACAGGCAACTAAAGCTCTAAGTGCTATCAAGGAAGAAAAGAAAAAGGAGAGGGGAAGAAAGAAATCCTGTTTTACTTTTGTTAGTATGAGAATGAACTTCCATAAACTTTTAGAGGAAAGTCTTCCAACAGTGATCTTCCCCATCCTCCAACCCTACCTGCCCCACACTTAAGATATTTTTGAGAAGCTGGCATATTCCCTTTCTACATCATTCCATAAGAGAATCTTCTCTGGCAATTACCTGGTGACAAGCCTCAAAATAGCGTATTACCTAAGATTTCTGGCCCTTTACCAACATCAAGCTCACAAAAACCATTATCTCTAAAATTCCAACGTAATGGAGTTCTTCAGTCTGGAAATCCTCATCCTCCATTAAGGCAACCGTGAGCGAGCAGTGTATGATATTGAGATCATCGCTCTGTTTTGTTCATCCATGCACTTACACAAGGCCAGCAATATGTGATTCAAGGTGGAGCTTTTGCCTTAGTCTTGCTTCCTTTCCAACAAGCCCCACTCACAAATTTTCATCAAATTCCCATTTATTGACTAACTTTCCCATTTAGAAACTCAATAACCTTTCAAAGATGGCATTTTTGTTGTTGTTGTTGTTGTTTTGTTTTTTTGAGACAGAGTTTCGCTCTTGTTACC